TTCAGAAGTTTGCATCGAGACTCGTACCAGCGTTACGAGGGATGGGGTATGAAGAGCGCCTGAAGGAACTGTGCCTTACACCACTAGAAAAAAGAAGGGAGAGGGGGGGATATGATAGGAATTTATAAAATACTCAGGGGAATTGACAGATTGAAAATAGACGAAATGTTCACACGGAATAGTAACAGAACGAGGGGACATGGGTGGAAGCTGGAAACTCAGACGAGTCACAGAGATGTGAGGAAGTTTTCTTTCAGCGTGAGAGTAGTGGAAAAATGGAATGCACTTACGGAGCAGGTTGTGGAAGCAAATATTATTCATAATTTTAAAACTAGGTATGATAGGGAAATAGGACAGGCGTCATTGCTGTAAACATCCTATGGCTCGAAAGGCGGGATCTAAGAGTCCGTGCTCGATCCTGCAGACACAAATAGGTGAGTATAAATATGTGAGTACACACACACACACACACAGTGTGTGTGTGGGGAGCCGGTGGCCGAGAGGACAGCTCGCTGGACACATGATCCTGTAGTTCCGGGTTCGATTCCGGGCGCCGGCAAGAAATGATGGGCAGAGTTTCTTTCACCCTATGCCCCTGTTACCTAGCAGTAAATAGGTACCTGGGAGTTAGTCAGCTGTCACGGGCTGTTTCCTGGTGTGTGTGTGTGTGTGTGTGTGGTATGGGGAAAAAATTGTAGTAGTAGTAGTAGAAACAGTTGATTGACAGTTGAGAGGCGGGCCGAAAGTACAGAGCTCAACCCCCGCAAGCTCAACTAGGTGAATACAACTAGGTGAATACACACACACACACACACACACACACACACACACACACACACACACACACACAATGTAAGGATTGGTCTTACACACATGTAAGACCAATCCTGGAGTATGCGGCCCCAGCATGGAGCCCGTACCTTGTCAAGCACAAGAAGAAGCTGGAAAAAATTTAGAGGCATGCCACTTGGCTAGTTCCAGAACTAAGAGTCATAAGTTATGAGGAAAGGCTGGGTGAGATGCACCTCACGAAACTGGAAGACAGAAGAGTAAGGGGAGACATGATCACAACCTACAAAACTCCTAGAGGAATTGACAGGGTAGATAAAGATAAACTGTTTAACACGGGTGGTACACGAACAAGGGGACACAGGTGGAAACTGAGTACCCAAATGAGCCACAGAGACGTTAGAAATAACTTTTTCAGTGTCAGAGTAGTTAACAGGTGGAATGTATTAGGCAGTGATGTGGTGGAGGCTGACTCCATGCACAGTTTCAAGTGTAGATATGATGGAGCCCAGTAGGCTCAGGAATCTGTACATCAGTTGATTGACGATTGCGAGGCGAGACCCAAGAGCCAGAGCCCAAACCCCGCAAGCACAACTAGGTGAATACAACTAGGTGAGTACACACACACACACACACACACACACACACACACACACACACACACACACACACACACACACACACAAGACCTCGCCCATCCCAGTAATGTGAGTATACACATCAATAATCTTACTTAGAAAAGACTAGTATTATCTAGTCTAAGTAGTTAGGGAACTTTGTCCTGTTTTACAGACTACTTTACGTGGGAATATATCTTACACTGGACCTTCATAAATAGAACTACCTTACATGTAGCTATATCTTACACAGGACTATCTGAAATACGAGTAGATTACATGGCTATATCTTACACAGGACTATCTGAAATACGAGTAGATTACATGGCTATATCTTACACAGGACTATCTGAAATACGAGTAGATTACATGGCTATATCTTACACAGGACTATCTGAAATACGAGTAGATTACATGGCTATATCTTACACAGGACTATCTGAAATACGAGTAGATTACATGGCTATATCTTACACAGCTTTAAATAGGATTAACCAAACGGGGACTAAATCTTAGACATTACTATCTTCAATAGGAATTCCTTACATAGTAGTATGGACTATCTTCAATAGGAATTCCTTACATAGTAGTATGGACATCTTCCTCATGACACTGTTAGAGAGGACTACCGTTTAATTCACTGAGACTGGCACAGAGCTTGAGAACAGCGGGGAGGCGCTGGGAACACGCACCACTCGACTAACGGAACGACGGCCCCGGGCAAGAGACTTCAACGACCGGCCCCAGGAACACTACGGAACACGCTAAGTCCCGTTACCCCCACACCTGCTACACCCTCCCTGTGCCGGCTACACCCACGTCTCCTACACCTGCCTCCACCACACTCTCAAGATATACCTCCAGCAAGCGATATACATACATCGTGAAATGCTTGAAAATCATACGTGATATTTATTTCAGTCTTACCTTAATTTTCCGCTGTAAAGCTTAAGATAAGTAAGTTTGTTATCCTCTAGGTCAGCAGGAGGGGCGAGGACATGAAGCTTGAGCAGCACAGTATCTCGCCTGAGTGCACAGTACTAATGGTCCCTGAAGCAGGCCGAGACGACTAGAGTGAGACGACCGCCGGTGGATAGCGAGGGAACCACACTGAGCAGACGACACCGTCAACAACCTGAACCTCCTCAACCACCCCACCTCGCTATAACGCGGTAGTCCCCCCCATCACCCCTTACCCCCTTCTCCCCTCACCTCCCCCCTCCACGGTTACACCTGCCTGTACCCCAGCCCCACAACCCCCCATCGGTTCACCTGTAGGAGGCGAGAGTAGCATATTATAAGCTCACTCAGTGTATTCAGAGCATAGCAGCTGAGAGCGATGTGCTGCTATGGATAGCAGCAGAGCGCAGAAGCGAGCGCAGGAGGAGAATTATACAGCAGATTGAGGGAGACAGGTTGGAAAGCGCAGAGGAAGATAAGTTCTTTGTGAAGTTATAAGCGTTATGGAAGTAATTAGGTTCAGACTATTGGGACATGTTGCGTACGTCGTGTGCGCGTCGTCAGTGAGGCACGACAGCAGGAGATATAACAAGTGTTGACAGTAAGACAGAGCGAGGTGTGAGCTTCCCTACAACACGTGCTTGGTCACGTCCAGACCACAGGGTGGTGTTGTGACCTTCAAAGGTCGCCCCGTCCCCTCCCTTACCCAGAGGTCGCCCCGCCCCTCCCTTACTCAGAGGTCGCCCCAGCCCTCCTTACTCAGAGGTCGCCCCGCGCCTCTCTTACTCAGAGGTCGCCCCAGCCCTCCTTACTCAGAGGTCACCCGGCCCCTCTCTTATTCAGAGGTCGTCCCGCCCCTCTCTTACTCAGAGGACACCCCGCACCCTCCCATTCTCAGAGGTCGCTCCGCCCCCTCCCTTACTCAAATGTCGCCCCAGCCCTCCCTTACTCAGAGGTCGCCCCGCCCCCTCCCTTAATCAGAGGTCGCCCCGCCCCTCTCTTACTCAGAGGTCGCCCTGCCCCCTCACATTCTCAGAGGTCGCCCCGCCCACTCCCTTACTCAGAGGTCGCCCCGCCCCCTCCCTTAATCAGAGGTCGCCCCGCCCCTCTCTTACTCAGAGGTCGCCCTGCCCCCTCCCATTCTCAGAGGTCGCCCCGCCCCCTCCCATTCTCAAAGGTCGCCCCGCCCCTCCCTTACTCTGAGATCGCCCCGCCCCCTCCCTTACTCAGAGGTCGCCCCCGCCCCCTCCCCTACTCAGAGATCGCCCCGCCCCCTCCCTTACTCAGAGGTCGCCCCCGCCCCCTCCCCTACTCAGAGATCGCCCCGCCCCCTCCCTTACTCAGAGGTCGCCCCCGCCCCCTCCCCTACTCAGAGATCGCCCCGCCCCCTCCCTTACTCAAAGGTCGCCCCCGCCCCCTCCCCTACTCAGAGATCGCCCCGCCCCCTCCCTTACTCAGAGGTCGCCCCCGCCCCCTCCCCTACTCAGAGATCGCCCCACCCCCTCCCTTACTCAGAGGTGGCCCAAGCTGTACATGAAAGTGAACACCCCATTATACAATCTGAAGATAAGAGGGAGTTAAGGGGTTTAACTATTCATTTAGTCATTAAGGGTCCGAGCACCTTGTCAGCCTACTCCCTCCCGCTGCACACACACACGACTGTCCACTGACCCTCGTATATATTATTTACATGGTGAGCCTGGCTGGGCAGTCACGGCCCCTTGTTACTTGTTACAACAACAACAGCTGCTCTCTCTCTCTCTCCAATCAGAACAACATCAGCTGCTCTCTCTCTCTCTCTCTCCAATCAGAACAACATCAGCTGCTCTCTCTCTCTCTCTCTCTCTCCAATCAGAACAACATCAGCTGCTCTCTCTCTCTCTCTCTCTCTCTCTCTCTCTCCAATCAGAACAACATCAGCTGCTCTCTCTCTCTCTCTCTCTCCAATCAGAACAACATCAGCTGCTCTCTCTCTCTCTCTCTCCAATCAGAACAACATCAGCTGCTCTCTCTCTCTCTCTCTCTCTCCAATCAGAACAACATCAGCTGCTCTCTCTCTCTCTCTCTCCAATCAGAACAACATCAGCTGCTCTCTCTCTCTCTCTCTCCAATCAGAACAACATCAGCTGCTCTCTCTCTCTCTCTCTCTCCAATCAGAACAACAACAGCTGCTCTCTCTCTCTTCACTTACAACAACTACACCAACAACAGCTGCTCTCTCCCCACTCACAACAGGCAGAGTGTTCTTCAACCCTTCACGGCCACAAGTCATTCACCTGCAGTTTGTGACACCAAACTTGGTATAGGATTTATAATAATAATAATAGTAATAATAATTTATTTAGGAACATTACATGCATAGTTGCAGCGTTACAGTACAAACATTGTGTTAGACTTAAAGATAGAGGTAGTACATACAATACCTAAAGTCACTAGTACGCATAGCGTTTCGGGCAATATATCACCTCCGTGCTGCTCTCTCGAACTTTGTAGCCTCCTGGACGTGAAATCCTGTCATGGTGGAAATGAAGACTGTCCACCCCGTCATAGGCGGACTTACACTCCACAGAGCTGGACTTACACTCCACAGAGGTGGACTTACACTCCACAGAGCTGAACTTACACACCACAGAGGTGGACTTACACTCCACAGAGCTGGAGTTATACTCCACAGAGGTGGACTTACACTCCACAGAGCTGGAGTTATACTCCACAGAGCTGGACTTGCACAACACAGAGGTGGACTTACACTCCACAGAGCTGGAGTTATACTCCACAGAGCTGGACTTACACGCCACAGAGAAGGACTTACACTCCACAAAGGTGGACTTACATTCCACAGAGTTGGACGTACACTCCACAGAGCTGGACGTACTCTCCACAGAGCTGGACTTACACTCCACAAAGGTGGACTTTAAACAGAGTTGGACGTACACTCCACAGAGCTGGACTTACACTCCACAGAGCTGGACTTATACTCCTCAAAGATGGACGTACACTCCACAGAGCTGGACTTATACTCCACAGAGCTGGACTTATACGCCCCAGAGGTGGACTTACACTCCACAGAGGTGGACTTACACTCCACAGAGCTGGACTTACACTTCACAGAGCTGGACTTATACTCCACAGAGCTGGACTTACACTCCACAGAGCTGGACTTACAAGCCACAGAGGTGGACTTACACTCCACAGAGCTGGACTTATACGCCACAGAGGTGGATTTACACGCCACAGAGGTGGACTTACACTCCACAGAGCTGGACTTACACGCCACAGAGGTGGACTTACACTCCACAGAGCTGGACTTACATGTCACAGAGGTGGACTTACACGCCACAGAGCTGGACTTATAATCCACAGAGTTGGACTTACACGCCACAGAGGTGGATTTACACGCTACAGAGCTGGACTTATACTCCACAGAGTTGGACTTACACGCAACAGAGGTGGACTTACACGCCACAGAGGTAGACTTACACGCCACAGAGCTGGACTTACACTACACAAAGCTGGGCTTACACGCCACTGAGGTGGACTTATACTCCACAGAGTTGGACTTATACGCCACAGAGGTGGACTTACACTCCACAGAGCTGGACGTACACTCCACAGAGGTGGACTTACACTCCACAGAGCTGGACTTACACTCCACAGAGCTGGACGTACACTCCACAGAGCTGGACTTACACACCACAGAGTTGGACTTACACTCCAAAAGGGGATTCAAAAGGGATTGGGAAAGCAACATCTACTTTCACTAGAAAGTCGAGAGTAAGAGGCCAGGTGTTGTAAGTAGATGAATGGGTAATAGATAGGTGAAAGTTTATAATGAGTGGCCAGGTGTAGCCAGTGTATAATGAGGGCCTGAGTGTCAGGTGTAGCCAGTTTATAATGACTGGCCCGAGGGTCAGGTGTAGCCAGAGTATAATGACTGGCCCGAGTGTCAGGTGTAGCCAGAGTATAATGAGTGCCGTGAGGGTCAGGTATAGCCAGTGTATAATGAGTGGCCCGAGGGTGAGGTGTAGCCAGTGTATAATGAGTGCCCCGAGTGTCAGGTGTAGCCAGTGTATAATGAGTGGCCCGAGGGTGAGGTGTAGCCAGTGTATAATGAGTGCCCCGAGTGTCAGGTGTAGCCAGTGTATAATGAGTGCCCCGAGTGTCAGGTGTAGCCAGTGTATAATGACTGGCCCGAGGGTGAGGTGTAGCCAGTGTATAATGACTGGCCCGAGGGTCAGGTATAGCCAGTGTATAGTGAGGATGTTATTAAACAAACAGTGAAACTCAAGCCAAACAAATCCCCAGGGCCGGATGAAGTGTTTGCCAGGGTGCTTAACGAATGCAAAGAGGAGCTTTGCGAGCCACTGTCTACCATATTTAATAAATCATTAGAGTCAGGCAGAGTGCCATAGTCGTGGAAGCTTGCTAATATGGTACCAATTTTTAAGACAGGAGATAGATCATTTGCGTTAAACTATCGGCCAATTAGCCTAATGTCTATTGTGGGAAAGTTACTTGAATCGATAATTGCAAATACCATTTGTCTTCATCTTGAAAAAACATAAATTAATAAATGATTCACAACATGGTTTTACAAATGGCCGTTCATTTTTAACAAATTTGCTATCATTTTACTCCAGCATAGTTGAGGCAGTTGATAGTGGTAAGGATTGTGATGTTGTGTACCTTGACTTTAGCAAAGCTTTTGATACAGTGCCACATGAAAGACTGGTTAAAAAGTTAGAGGCTCATGGTATTGGGGGTGCTATATTAAGTTGGATTAGGGCATGGCTATTCCAAAGGAAACAGAGAGTTAGTATAAATGGGGTTAAGTCAGAGTGGGAAAGTGTTGTAAGTGGAGTGCCTCAAGGCTCTGACCTGGGACCTCTGTTATTCATAATATATATAAATGATTTAGATTCAGGTTTGCGCAGCAATATTTGCAAATTTGTCGATGATACAAAAATCGGGAGGGAGATAAACACGGAAGAAGACTCACTATCACTTCAAGACGATCGAAATAGGGTTCTGAAATGGTCAAATGATTGACAGATGTAGTTTAATGCTGACAAGTGTAAGGTTTTGTGGCTAGGTAATGATGATGATATAGTTACAAGATACGCGCTGGGTGATG